AAGTTGATGTATTCCCTCAGCGACCAGCACAGATTAGCTCTAGGCATGACGAAGCGGATATCGTCCTCTTTTGGAAGACCAAACAAAGTAGTTTCGCTTTCACAACTAAGCACACAGCGCCTTCACGACATGGCTGCAGCGTCAACAATACTACAGTGAGAATAAAAGGTACGCCTTCTTTCTTTGCGTGAACATTTGGGAGGCGTTATGCAAATCTTCCCACATAGTGAGGTAGATATGTGGGGGCGTGTTAGAACGACCCGTTTTTGGTAGGGGTGGCTGACTCTGAACTTTTATAAAGAATATCTCTTTGGATTTGAGACTTTAGTCTTTGCAACTTTACAGATCTTCTTTATGCACCAAGAGCTTGTAACACTCCAAAGAGAAAGGAAAAATTTTAATCGCATCATATGACCCCTTTAAATGATTGCAATGCGGTCAACTTCCAAAAATGTAGTAAAAACTGTAGTGATACTTCAGCAAAAAATGAAAATAGTCATTTATTGTTCCAATTCTGAATGGCTTCTGTTGAACACAAAAATATATATTTGGAAGAATATGGGTAACCAAAGCAGTTTCTGATTCCCTTTGACATTCCATAGTATTTTTTTTGTCCATAGCCATACTATGGAAACCAGTGGGGACCAGAAACGAATCTAATTATATCTAATATTTAAAGTTTATTTTTTGGTTAAACTGTCCCCTTTAAGTCAAAAGGCCTCTCTCCCCATCTCCTCTGAATATTATGGTTAAAAAATGTACTTACAATTTTAGAACTTCAACTTAAAATTATTTTTAGTTAAGGCAGCATTTCTCATTTTTATTTGAGTTTAAGGTTTTCATCTACTATTTTATTTTATTTCAGCTTTATCAGTAGAATAATCGTTTGTGCAATAATTGTCCATTTTCTTTTTAAATAGAAGTGTAAATCCAGTCCAATATATTTTCCCAGCAGCTCAAACCTCATTCAGAGGTAGTCTTCAGAGACCCTCGACTCAAATCCTATCACAGGTGGTCACTGGAGACATAATTGACATGCATGTCAATAAGATGTAAACGCATCTTTTTCACTTGTCCGATCACCTGAGACAGTTGTACAAGGTATAAACACATTTTTTGGGCTTTATTTAAAAATCCATTCCTCTGCCTTTGGCCTTCTTTTTTAGCACACTGTTCTCATCTCACGGCACACACTCGTACTGTTAGACCCACTGTACTTGTGCTTTGTTACAGCCCTAGTGTGCTCTTACTCTGTGTCCTCTCTCTGCCTTCCAGCCTCCCAGCCCAGGAGAAATGGAGCAGCGTGAGAGAAAGGCCAGCACAAGTTCATCTGAGGATAGAGACAGTGATGGAAATGACCGCAGGAGGGTTGTTGGTAAGTTTGTCCTTTGATTTAAAAAAAACAAACTAAAAATTTATATTGCATTATAACAGTAGTCACATAATATTGAAAATCATTGTGAATAATCTTAAATCACATTTTGCCATTGATTGTTGCAGGGAAAGTTCACCACAAAATGATAATTTACTCAATTTTATAATGTTGTGGAGCACAAAAGATATTTTGAAGAATAGCATTTCTAATGACAGTCATTGTGGTCCACTGACTTTCAGTGTATTGACTTATCTTTTTTTTTTTTCTTTTTTTATGACTAAACATATTTACAATGTTTTTAATTTGTTCTACTGTAGCTCTCATACTGGTGCATTTTCCCTCAATTTTACCTATTAATTATTAGGGGTGGAAATCACCAGAGGCCTCACGATACGATAATATCACGATACTTGTGTCATGATACAGTATTATTGCGATTTTAAATATATTGCGATATTCTGCGATATATTGCAGTTTATTACCTTTTTCCAACTTCAAATTATGTCCCCAAAGGAAAACTTTGACAACATCTGTTTTAACAAAAAAAAACATTTCTCAGTTTGTTTATCTCACTTCAGTTTTATTGTTGCAGTGCAAAATGGGATTGTCAAGCAGACAAACTGACCAACACTTTCATGAAAACCTGTCATAAATGTTGTATGCACCTGGCAAACTCAACTATTTGTATTACAGTCTAATCTAATCCACCTTAATTAAATGTAAACAGGTATGCACTGCTGTGCTACTACAGGTATTTTGAACAGTGCAACTTGAAATTGTACTAAAAAGTTGTGCAGACCCTTCAGCAATTGGGGCATTTGAAAGTAAATTACTGTTAAATTTAAATTAAATTAAATAAAACATGTAGTCTTACATCTAGGGATGCACCAAAATGAAAATTCTTGGCCGAAACGGAAACCGAAAATTCTGGATGCACTTGGCCGAAAACCGAAAATGCTTTGTAATGTTTATTTAGTATTTTATTAAATAATATAAAGCAAATTTGGAAGACTTTTTAAATTTAACTCCATTTTAATGATACTGAATAAAAAAAAAACACAATCCAATAAAATAACCACACTTTTACTGAAAGTAACACAATAAAACTGGACAGAATTGATATTAATATTGGTAACACTTTACAATAAGGTTCATTAGTTAACTGCTTTAGTTAATGAACTAAGAATGAACAATAGTTCTTCAGCATTTACTAATCTTAGTTCATGTTCATTTCAACATTTACTAATGCATTATTAAAATCAACAGTTGTGCTTGTTAATAGTTAATTCACTTTGAATTAACATGAACTAACAGTGAATAACTGTATTCTCATTAACTAACATTAAGACAGATTAATAAATACTATAATAATTGTATTGTTCATTGTTCGTTCATGAAAGTTAATACATTAACTAATGGAACCTTATTGAAAAGTGTTACCTTAGTATTAAATATCAAAATATTATTTTATTCACTTCTATGTAACATAATCAGATATAAGTTGTTGTTTGTTTGTTTTTTTGACTAATCCAAATAATGTATAGTCCTACAAAGCTATTATTATCAGAACATATGAGCAGAGCATCTCAGGCAACTCTGGTGAGATAGAATTTGCAAGGAAATAAATGTATGTGTGTGTTATGAGTTTTTCCAGTACCGATTAACGTCAGAGCTTATCGATACTCCGGTCTTTCATAATTTAGCCCCGGGTCCGATTAAATACCGGGTTTCGGTAACCATCCCTACACATAAGCCTGCATGTTTCCTCACAGCTGAGACCTACTTCCAACATTTCCTAAGTCAGCACAAGGACGAACACAGTGACCGAGCAATGCTTCACTGTAGATGCACCTGTTGTGGGTGAACACAAGGCAAACAAAAGGCTTGTTTCTAACAACTATGAGGAATAAAATATTTTTTTTTTGTCAGACTGTAAAATTAGGATTCATTGTGATTCTTTTTTTTAGTTCCAGCCAGGCATTTTGAACAACTGCAGTTGAATCTGACTTGAAATACCTTTAATATTATAGGTCAGTCAATATTTCAGTCAGTAGTTTTTCAGTTTAAGTCTAAAAGGAAATAGTTGTATTTTTCCATGTGTGTAGTGTGAATAAAACAGTGAATCGAAAGCAAATGTATATATCATGACGGTCTTGGATGCAAGTCTTCCTTTAATCCTTTAATATGTATGTCCCTCAGGTGGCTCCTAAATCAACCTTGTACGGCAATGTCAAGTCAGTAATCAGTGTTTTCCCATTTTCCCATGTATCTCAGGGCTCATCTGCATCTGGCCTCAGTGTAGCGCTGCGGACACGTATAACCTTGTTGCTCATGCCTGTTTATCTGATCTATTGCTCCCTGGTCTCTCTAGAGCTCATCACCAACAGTCTCACTTCAGTAGCTCTCATAGTCGGTGTTATCATCCATAAAATGCTTTCAATCATCCGTTCTGCTGAGCTGTTGCAAATCCGAAATCTGACCCAGTGAAAACCGGCACAAGTCTTCTGTCTCCTGACACCTGCACAAGGATACTTGACCACACATGGGTCTAA